TGTGAGATCCTGTACTCTTCAATAACTCCCATCTGACTTTTTGATTGGTAGAATGGGAGTGTTGTACTCTGATTCACACTCTGTTAACAGCCCAAATTGAATGAATCAGTCGATGATCGGTCACATTCCTTCCCTGTCTTCTCCATATGGACGTATTGCCTAATTCTTATGGGCTGCACCCCTGGTTTAAGCCTAACTAGTATTGGGGAGGCATTTTTCGCTCTCCCGAGTATCTCCAAGGCCCATACCCCCGGATATACCTGGTTCTGAACTTCCTCGGGTATTCCTGAGATAACAGGAGTATCTATAAGGGCCAGACTCAAAAGTTCAATCTAGTTGGTCATCTCCTACTCAAAGTTCCATTTTTCCTCTCTCAAATGTTATTTTTTGCTTTTAATTGTTGCAATAGGTCTCTGCCTAATAAAGGTTTCAGCGAATTAGGCATATATAAGAATTTGTGTATTCCCAACCGTTTTCCCAATTTAAATTTAAGAGATTTTAAAAAGTATGCCTTTTCACTTTAGCCAGTAGCTCCCCTTACCGTTACAAAATTATCATCCATAGTTGTTAAGCTTGATCCAAAACTGAAAATGTTGCCCCTGTATCTACTAGAAATTCTCTACTCCGTTGTCATGTCCCCAGCTTTAATGTAACAGTGGATCCGGGTAGGCCCCCCCAGGTCCCCGTCGATCTTCTTTAATGTGGGCCTGTATCCTTCCTTCCTCTTTCTGTCTCTGGTCATTCATTTTTCCAATGTCCACATTCTTTACACCATGCACACTGGTCTCTTCCTAAGGGCCTTTTAGGTCCCACGCTCTTGAATTCTTTTCTTTCTTGTAACACCATTACCAACACCCGCCGGTCTCTTTTTTGGCTATCCTCTTCCCTGTTGCTAAACACCCTCCGTGCCTCATCTAGTAAAGTCTCCAGGTTCCTGCTTTCTGCAGGCTTCAATTTCTGCAACTTCCTCCGGATGTCGCTTGCTGATTGTCCGATGAACAGAGACCCTGACCGCTGAATCCCTATTTCTGACCCTGGGTCTAGAGGAGTATGCCGCCTCATAGTATCCTGTAATTTATCTAAAAATTCAGAGGGGGTATCCCTTGGACCTTGCCAAGTGGCATATAAAGCTGACCAATTAATTGTTTTCAGGGTAGCCCGCTCCATTCCTCTTCCAACCCAATCTCTGTATGTATTCAGCAATCTTACGTGTGCCCCTCTGTTAGGGTTCCAACGTGGGTCTTGTAAGGGGAAATATTCTTTTATATCCTCCCCTGTATCCTTAAGAAAGTCACTAGCCAGATCTTGGACTGTTTTCAGTATCAGCTGTTTCTCCATTTCTGTCATATGGTCTAATAACAATTGAATAGCATCCCAGTCAGGATTATGCTGTTTTATCAGAAACTGGAAATGTTTAGTCACCCCCACAGAATCACTTCGATAGTTTTTTGCCCCATTTTTCCATGTTTCAAGATCAAATGAGGAGAAGGGAACCTTTATTAAGACAGGCTCTCTGCTTTGTCCCACTGCTTCCCTCAGAGGTGCTTGTACCACTACTTTTTCTTTTTTACTCTGGGTGTGAGAGGAGACTGGACTACCGAAGGGTTCCCCTATCAGTCCTCACTTTTCTCTTGTTGTATTTTTACCAGAGGTTTGTAATGTTCCAGCAGGTCTCCTGTTTCAGGATCCCTTATTTTCCCCAATCTTGTACATCTCTCACTTATACTGCATGCTGAACAACACCTCTTGAACTTTCCTTTTCCTTCCTTCATATTTTCTTTCTCTAAAGCCAAAACCATTGGATCCTGTGGGCTCATCAGTCCACAGGCTGTTTGGTACTCGGGGAGATTTTGGAGGGTAAAGAACATGTCCGTGTATGAGACTTCATCCCACTTTCCCTCTCTCCTCAAAACCAACATTAGTATGTTTCCCAGGTTCCCACAATACGCTCTTTTAAGCTGACCTGAGTGCTCAATTCTGTCCCAGTCAGACCAATTCCCTTGACATTTATTACACTAAAAATCATTTCCAAGCTTTACCGAGACTTCTCTTCCCCATTAAAAACATGCGCTTCGTTCATCTCCTGCCGCTCTCCTCGCAGAGAACATGGAATTGCAGATCGGAACTCCACACTTGCTTCGCAGTCAGACTGCGTCTCGTTCATACAACAGTCACACAGTCACACAAAGAGGCCCCAGTGATCACAACATAAACCTCAACACATGATGTACGGTACCAGATTTTTACAACAGATTACAACAACAATGGTTGCAACCCCCTGCTCCTGCCACCGTGGCCAGGAGAACCCAAGCTACCGTTGGTCAGGGTGTACTACTTACCCTGCCACCACCTTTTGGGGACTCAAACCCCAGCCTCCCCGGGGTGAGCACCAATGCTCTTTACCTCGCGTAGGACGTCTCCTCAGGGCTTACAGATATCCCCTCCTAAATCCACATCCCTGGTCCCCCGAGGGTCCCTGTCTGCCCCCGCAGTGATCGAATGAGCGAGGGAGGTCCTCTGAGAAGCCTCGGGGCGCGCCTAGGACGTCCCCCTCTCAGCCAGTCCTGCGGCCGGGCAGAGAGGGTCCCACTGGGGTCGCCAAATTGAAGCGCGGAAACAAACTCTGCAACTCACAAAGAGTCATAAAGCAGGTATGTTTATTGCAGCGCTGGGTGCAAGGGGGATCGCTCTTCCTAGCTTGCACACCAACAGCACACTTTGCCAAAAATTTATGCAATGCAGATATACATATTCATGGGATTACGCAACACAAACATACGTATATATGAGCAAGGTGGGCTTAGTTTGCACAGACTCAGATCTGTCTCTGGTGGTCATTTACTTCTTCAGGGGTCTTATCTTCCTCTTCCTCTTTTGTCCTTTAGATGAACTTTAGCCATTCACGCATGCTCTATTTGTACTTGGTGATCTCAGCAGCCTTTTAACCAGTTTTTTGGTCAAGCTGACACCGTTATTCTTGTTATCCCCCCCTGCGTCTAACACACAGTCCTTAGCGAATACCAGTCCCTGATAAGCTTAGGCACCAGTCTCTAATAAACAAGTTTCAAAAGAACACTCAAGGCGTCAAAATAACATTCAAGGCAAACAAAATTTTTCCGAAATTGCAAAGCAGTTATTTCCCTGTATCACTACTTGTGACCTTAGGTCAAGTACTGCTCTTAAGCTGTGCCTTAGGGCATTGAGAGCCAGGAGCTGTATGTTCTCTGTTTGGAGGGCATCTGGGCAGTGTCTGTGTTACAGCCTGGGTTGGGATTTTTCTGGAGCAGCCCCTTCTCTCCCTGATCTGAATCTAGGCATTTGAGAGATAGCCAGTACGGCTGAACAATCTGGCTTGCTAGGTGTCATGGTTTGAGCCTGGTCGGCAGCCAAACACAATGCAGCTGCTTGCCCACCCTCCGCCACTTGGGAATGGGGAGGGAATCAGAGGGGCAAAGGAAGACTCAAGGGTTGAGATAAAGGCAGTTTAATAACAGTAATAAAATAATACGGTGACAGTATAAATGGGTAATGTGCAATGCAATTGCTCACCGCCTGTCGACTGACACCCTGCCCGCTCCCGGCTAGCGATCCCATAGACAAATACAAAGCTTGACTCATTTGGGGCTCCTCAGTGTCTTCAGAAGTGACTCCTCTGGCAAACCAACGTCCCTGAGGACACAGCTGGTTTGTGGCTGTCGTGCAGAGTTTACTATTGGCTATTAAAACATTAGGAAGTCCTCTGCTGATTAAAGGATGAAACGAAACCTCTCAAGGTCTGCCACACACTGCATGGGGGAGGGCTGTCGTGGGCACAGCAAGTGGTCATGCACTAATTGGAGGCAAGCAGTTTTCTGCACGTTTTCCAAAATGTGACCTGACATGGGTGTTTTAATACAAAAAGGGTCCCCTCTTTCCATTGGGTCTAATCCTCCTGCCCAATAAACCACCCTCTGGGTCAAGGACCAGGGTTCATGGTTATCACTGGTAGTTAATAAAACTCCAGGTCCCCAGTATCCTCTAGCTTCATCTTAACTCGACAGAATATGATCTCTCCTGGTGAGGGAGACTCTCCAGACCTACTCTGTTTGAGTTTGTCAGGGGCCCTGAGAGTATTTTCCCTGTATTTTGGCCAAACCCAAAAATCCCAGTTCACTATCCTGATCGGAGCCCGGATCTAACCTCTCATCAAACACCTGCCTGTTTTCTTGCGATTCATACCGTAAGATTTTCTCTCAGTCTAGTGAATTTGGCAAAATTGCATGAAGCCTCTGAGGAGTGTTACGTTCAGCAGTGAGATGACTTTGCAAGTTTCTTATCTGCTCTTGCAAGCACTCAATTGTCTCTTTCTCTGCTTGTTTTTCCTTTCCAGCCGCAATTAACGCAGCCCCTAGAACAGCACAGATGGTTGCTTTTCCTTTCCCCAATCCCAGTTTTCATTCCTTTGCCAAAAGCGTGATCCTATCCACCAATGCCTGCCAATTCTTTTGGGCCCAAGCCATGCCAAGAGGAGAGGACAGGGATTTATAGCCCTTCGATTTCTCAAGGAGGGGCTTCTCTGCTATTGTTGGATCCCCAAATCGATCCCGACAACAACTGTTACACAATACGAAAGGGTTACTCTAAAGTATTCGGCCTAGTGTGCATTTACGGACCCAGTGTGGATCTTTCCAAGAAGATCCACTGTCCTCTCTCCTGTCAGGCACTTCCTTAAAGAAGGGGCCATGCTAAGGGCCCTGATCCCTTCTGGTTGGTTCAGTGTCACAAGGGCATCCTGTCCGTGACGACAATTTAGAAATGCTGCAGCCCAAAAGAAGCTGTTCAAAACAGCCTCCCTCCCCTTGGGACCTACGACCAAGTTTGAGATACCCTTGTACTGAACTGAGGTGAAACACCACCAGCCAACCCACTTAACAATTTATTAATACAAAAGACATGGCAAGTGGTTAGATACAAATACTCAATGGCAACTTCTTAACTAGGCAGACAAGTCCCATGCTTACTTGGAGCTAGTTCCAATTCATTAAAGAAAGGAGAAGAGAGAAAGAGAGAGAGACAGAGACAACTTGTCTGTTAGATTTCCCTTCCCTTCCTTAATACAATGCTTAAGGAACCGTCCTGGATCTTTGTGGCCAGCCCAAGTAATTAAGAACCTGGCATCACAAGGATGAGGCAGGTCTTAATATTCAGAGCGTATCCACGTCTGTACTTATCATTGTAAGATGTTTCAAGGCTCCCAACAATGTACATTTTCGGTTACAGTCCCTGTATACGCACAAGACTAGTGAAATACTCAAGCTGTCCGAGAGAGGGTATTGACATAGCCAAAAGCTTCAGCATGATGAGGTTCTGCAAAATCAAGTTCTTTCACAAAACAGTTTTTATTAACTCTGTGCTCCACCTTCCTGCATGGAGACTCCCTAGGAGACAAGAGGACGGCAGAGTTTGGATCACTCCGAGTTAAGTCCACTAGTGTAGCAGAATCACGGACGCTTCCGAGAGAAATTTCACCCAATTCCTTCAGTGAAGCAGGTGGGATTAGAGGGCAGGCATCTCGAGCTCTGAAGATGTTCTGAATGAGCTACTCCACATCTAGGCTTTATGGCACCAGGTCAGTTGGGATGGCCTGTTCCACCATCACCTTGCTGATTTTCTCCTCCTCCTGAGAAGAAGTTGATTTTTCATCCAGAACATTTTCAAGCATCTCTTGACACTCAGAGGAACTGGAGGGAGCTGGATCGCTCGACCCAGAAGTTGTGGCGGTCAAATACTCTTCAAATGAGTCAGTCCCGTTAGCGGTGTCCTCATTAAGAAGCAGCCCACTGCCTGCCACCTCCTCCAGAGCTTGGTCCTCCGTGGTGAGGCTGCCTGGCATCGTGGCACACAACGCTAACGGCTTCCCCTCTGAGTCCCACGTGGACTCCAGGCACTGCTCATCTCTCACAGAGCTCTTCTGAGCCATCCCCATGCCCTGCAGCAAAGCTTCCAGTTTCCTGTTTTCAATGCTTATGTCTATGAAGTATTTCTGAAATTTTTTCTCTTTCTCAGCCAAGCTGTTTCTCATGCTTTCAACAGCCTGCTGGAGTTTGTGCCTTTCCCTTCTCGCTTCCCAGAAGTGCAGCTCCAGCTCCACATGCTTACACTCTTCCTCAACCCAGTCTTCCTTCATCTGTGCCAGCTGAGCCTTGAGCTCTTCTATTTCTGTTTCCCTGCAGCAAAAGCAAAATGCAGTGGCAGTGCTGTGGACGGTCAGTGAAAGAGTGCAGCGCTTGCCGTCTGGCCTCCTGCCTCGCCCTGGAGGCGATGGGAAGCGGCTGCCCGGATGCGTCCCCCGTGCCTGCCAGCAGCTCGGCACCTGCAGCCAGAGCCAACACGGGCCTCGGGCACAGGACGGCTCGGGGCTGCAGCCCCCCGCCTTGCTTTGCACCCACCCAGCCCCGCGTGGGGCCAGGGGCTGCTGCCTTGGCCTGCGAGGAGTGGGGAGAGGGGGCCCCCACGTGAGATCCAGCCCGCGCAGATGCGGAGGTCGGGCGATGCGAGCGGGACCAAGCGCTCCCTGGGCCTCTGGCCCTGGGGCTCCGTGCAGAGCCCGCTCTGTGCCCGCCTGGGTTGTGTGTCACTGCTTCGCTTCGCGTCCATACAAAGGGCTGTTGTGAACCATTCAGTCCCCAAGGGGCAAAACCACCAGTGGGCACGCTGGTGTGTGTAAGAGCTTTTCTTTCGCTAGGGGAGAAGGGGGACGTTGGTAGCCATCTGTCTCTGAGCGAGGTGGAACAAGAGATGGAGCAAATACATGCTTGCAGGTAAAAACCGCTTGATGTAGAAAAGGTCTCAGTGCTAAATCAGACTGGTAAAAAACTACCCTTTAAAAATATTCTATTGGGCAAGTTCAAAAATAGGGAAAAGAGACAGACAGCCGTATTCTTAACTAAGCCGCATGGTACGTATGCACTGAGCATCACGATGAAACCTGAAACAACTAATCAGTCTGATCCTATTTCAGATTTCTTCATGAAGTCTTTACATGGTTAGAAAATGAGAAAAAAGGTCCTGGATTCCCACCCCAAAACGCTCCTGAGTAAATCATTCTAACTCTGTTTTCCGAAGTGAAATATACCTTTCTTGAAGTTTGCTCTCAGACTCCTTCAGCTTTGTTTTCAAATGCTGTACTGTAACTTCTTTCTGCTGCAGATGACTCAAGTACTGCTCTCGGTTTTGTGGCTCAATGCCGTGGTTGTCACCACAAGAAATGTATATCCCTGATTGCCTGGAAAGGGAAGAAACCCAAACCGTCACAGAACATCACTCCTAGAGGTCTTCAGTCCTGCCAAAAAGAAAGACTTCCCATAGACTGATACAAAGCTTGACTCATTTGGGGCTCCCCAGTGTCCTCACAAGTGGCTCCTCTGGCAAATCAACATCCCTGAGGAAACAGCTGGTTTGTGGCTGTCGTGCAGAGTTTACTATCTGCTGTCCTTGGTTTCAGTGCCATGCCATCAAATGTGACATTTAACTTTAAAATACTTTTACAACAAAAACTTTTTAGAACTAAAAAACCTTCTTTTTTTTTTTTTCCTCCAAATACAGCTCTTTTTTTGTTTCTTTCTTGTATCACAGTTCTCATCTGTGTTAGTGTTGCCTGAGAGCATAGTGTTCCCCAAATTGTTTTAACACTCACAATACTGATACTGTACGCATTAGCTGCAAGACCAGACCTAGTCGTCTACCTCTGCACTAGCAACACTTGCACTATCCCGGAAAAAACTGCTGTGCTTACTCGAGAGAAAAAGAAGATCTTTTGCTTCCAGCAGCAGACATGGGGACTTGATGCGCTGAAATAGTGCCTGTGCTGCTTGAAGAGATTAAATTGGCTTCACTCCCTGGAAAGGAAAAGGGAAGACTGGAAACATGATGGAAAGTAGAACACAAAGACTGTTTTCAAAATAACAGCAAATCACAAGCATTCTCCCTTTGTGCCCTCCCTTTGAGAGAGGGCCTGACTGTGTAAAAACGTCCAGTAAAGTCATTAGAAGCAGCTGGAAAAGTGGAGAGAATTCAGTTGTAATGCTCACTGTTGGAAGGACCTGCATGTTTAAGAGACTGAGATTAATTTATCCTAGAAACCTTTAACTCACAGCTACGTCTCTACTTCCCGTCTTTAACAGCATAAGCAGTGTGTTTCCAGGAAGCACTAATGCTGCTTCTATTCTATTTAATATGAGGTTGCTCCTGCGAGGTTGTTTTTGTATTCTCCCTCTGCCCCTGTCTCATTCTCTCCACGACCATGAGGTCTAAAGTCAGTGGAAGAAGCTGAGGATGTGCCTGGGCATGCCGAGAAGCAGGTCGGCTTGAAAAGCTCCCAACAGCTCGGTGCCTGGCTCCTCTCTAAGACCAGGGTGGGTGTTTCACACCGCACCAAAGATAGCAGGGTCCACACAGGAGCAGGCTGAGGAAAGCTCCCTTCTGCTGCCTGCTTGACTGGGGAAAGGATCCAGCTGGGATTTGCAGGGCCACATTTAGCTTTGAACTGGGAGGAGGCTGCACATCCCCTCCCCATCACACCACCTGGGACACGCACAGCATCCAGCAGTAAGGACCGGACGAGGAGACGGGGTTCCCATCCTCTCAGCTTCTCATGGCCCTCTGCAGGAGGTAGGATGCCTGCCTGTCTTCATTACCTCCTGCTACGTGCTGGAATCCAAACAGGCCTGAGTTCCCCACAGCTCCCACTTTCATCAGAAGACCCTACCCAAGACCTGCAACCAACACTTTCTCCTTGTCACACATAACACTGCAGAACAGGACTGGCAAGTCTGTTTTATGGCTATTCTGCCTGTTACATTGCTACACTCACATGTGAAAAAGAGAAAAAAAAAATAATACAAACCTCTCTCAATGGGGTCATTAGAACGCTTGCTCTCACAAAGGTTTTTCAAGACCAGGTCAAGCTCAGCAAAGACCTGCTGAGCAAACGCCCGAGCTGCCGACTTCTCGGGGGTCTCCTCCCGTGCCTGCAGCGGTTGTGTCTGCTGGCGTTCGCGAGGTTCCTGCCGAGACAACGCCGCCTGTGAAACATTCAGGCTTTAGCTGTCACTTCTCTGATCTGGAGGAACGACTCGGCAAACAACAGAACGACTGAGGACATCAGTATATGCAGCACCTGGTCCCTCCAACCTCTATTTCCGCAAAAAGCATTCACAGGAGAAAGTGCTGGAAAGCAGGCTCGCATGGCACCTGTGCAGTAGGAAAACCCCTGTGGGCTAGAGGGGAACTTCTTCCTTGATGTACTGGTTTTATTTTTGGTAAGCCTGGCAAGCGTCTGGTGAGTGGCCAGACTAAGCCTTTCCTGCTGCTTTAGTGTGCCCTGATCTCCAGACACGTGGCTTTACTGGCGTGGCAAACAGAGATGACAGTTAGCCGTGGGGCAAGTGGAAGGTGGTCCAGGATTTTCTGCACTTTCCAGCATTCCTGGGTGTTTCCCTACCCTGTTTGTTATAACAAACGGGAAATCTGACTATATCCTTAGAAGGCAAGACTGAGAAACCACATGTGTAAAGTTGAGTAAGAATGAATAATAAAGGCTTTCCTTTTCTGCTTACTCCTGATTGGGAATTACTCATACTGAGAGCTTGGAAATCACGGGTGCAGGTGCGCTACTACTTAGGTTTTAAGGTAGAAGGATACTTTTTGGAATTTCAGAGCCTTGCGAGTATTCGTTTAGGGCGTTATCATCAGAAACACAGCTAAGCTAAGCGCTTGACTCAGAACTGTACGAGGTACAGAAAAAAAATGCTCTCAGGCTTGCCTTCCTGATGAGCCATCTAACGAGGCAAAGTCACCAGAGCATGACTGCTTCCAAGAAAGCAGTCTGCTGCCTCGGTTCTGCCACAGAAACTGACTGCAGATAGGGGCTGTTTTGCTACAGGGTTTGTGAGCCCAGCTTTGCCTCATACCTCTCCTTCGTCGGCTGCCCTGGCCATGGCTCCTCTGCCCTCTGCCAGGCTGCAGAGCAACGAGGGTGGTCGCTCAAGGGGCACGTCTGCCTGACCTACCACGCCCGCCTCTATTCCGTGGTCCTCAGGCTCATCTGAACACAGCTCTGGAAAGCAAAGGCATAAGGAATGACACGTGTTGGGGTCAGATGAGCTTTAACAGCCACGACTCTGCCTGTTGATTCCGCAGGCCAAATTACATGCCAAGAATGTGCTGCAAAATGATTCCTCTGAAGGAAACTGGCAAAACCCTGCACCCCAAGTGAGGAGCGACCCTCTGATGCCATCTGCTGCCCCCCTCGGGAAGGGTCCCGGCAGCATTGTCACTCAGCAGATGTCGGTCATCACAGTCCAGAGCGCCGGCTCTCACCGTGAAGAACATGCACGTTCCCTTCCTACCTTGGCCAGAAGAGCCCTGGAGGTGAGAGCACATCTGAAATGTGGGCACTTGGTCTGAACTGGACCTGTCTCCTACGGGAGAGCTGAGAGACCTTGCTCAGAAAAGAAGGGCTACAGAGGCCACGAGACAACCTGCATCAGTCAGGCCGTAAGAGACCAAAACTTTCAGCGCAGACCACCTCGTTCTGGGAGAAACCCAATGCCAATGGAGAAAAGCCTGGGGGCCGCCGGGCAGCAGTGCAGCAGGCTTGGCAGGGCGCCGGCAGTGGCACTGTTCACAAACCTCAGGCCACGTCTGAGGAGCATCTGGAAAGACCAAAGCAAGAAGCCCTGGCCTGTGTGCCAGGAGGTGCACTGAAACCTGAAGAAAGGTCATCTAACCTCTGGGAAAGGTCACCCTAATTCGCCCCGTGTGTTAACGTTCAAAGCGGTGAATTCCAGGATGTTACCAGGGCAACGGTGAGAGAACCGCAACCCAAGGGGACGCTCCCAAATGCCCCATGAATTGCCTTTTCCAGGTTCATCTGGATCCACGTGCTTTGAGTTGGACCTGAAATTCAAAGCTTTACAGCATTCTACCTGTCTGCACATCAGCGTGCTCGCTGCTGTCCTCAGGCTCAGGCACTTTGGGCTCCAGCTGCATCTGGGTTCTCTTGCTGCTTGGGCTCTCTTGCTGCTTGGCCAGGGCTCTACTGCAGTCTTCTCGGTGCCTTTGAGCCTGAGGACAGCAATGTGGGATACTCTGGGCAGGCAGCAGGAAAAAGAATCCGTCCCAGATTACTTTCCGTGTGGAAGTGGTAATCCTTCTCCCCACGGGGAAATGAAGGCGAAGGCCTTTGGCCCCACAGACTTGCAGTTCAGGGCCACGAGCCCGAGGAGGGGGGAGTCACGGTCTCTGTGCCCCACGGGGGTGTTTGCTCCCAAGGCTGGGGCTGCACCCAGCTCCTCGGGACCTGCCCACAGGGCACTGCCCCAGCACCCTTCTCGGCTGCTGTGTGGTCCAGAAAAGCCACAGCCGGGCACCAGTCACTGGTGTGGAGCACAGGGGACACGGGCTGCCCGTCTGTGCTCTCCGCCCCGGCACTGGAGATTTCTGCCCAAACCCCACCAGGGAGAAAGAGGCCTCTGTCTTGATGGCTTCCCATCCCAGAAAAGCTGCCCTTCCTCTCCTGAGGCCTCTCCCACCCATACACGATGCCAAGGTGGAGAAAGGTAGCCACTGCTTACTTTTGCCTGGCACTGAACCAGAGTCTCGATGATCTGGGCAGTCATCGTCACCGGCTAGACAAGAGAACAAAGGCCAAGTGGGAGACGCTCCTCTGACGGTCTGTGCTAGAAAGCAGCGTCACTCCCTTGAGCCAGCTGGAACAACTTAGACACTTACAGTTCTGCAGAGGCCCAAGACCGATACAAGGAGATTAAGCGAGGGCAGTGTGGTCACTCTCGTTCCCTGGGCTGTGCTGCTTTGCCTGTGCACAGGGAATGGACAAAGGGAGAGCTCTGTGTCACTGAGCCTGGCTTAGCCCTCTCCCCTGACAGCCCGTCCAGCACCATTTGCATCCAAACAGCCAAAGAAGAAGTCCAGGCGCAAAAGGGGCAAGTGGCGACAGCTGGATCTTGACTTGCTGTTACTTTCCCAAGGCAAGGCTGAGCAGCTCGGGCAGTGCTGCCCCGCAGCTGCCCCAGCAGTGCGGGTACCTCTGCCCCAACCCTCGAGCTGCCTTGCAGCTGCAGCTGGAGCATCCCACCAACTGCCACGGTGGCACCAGAGGTTTGCTACTCCAGCAGGGCTTACCTGAGGATGGCGTCCAGCCAGAGTTCTTTCACCTCTTGCGAGCTGCAGGAGACAGGAGAACCAGTGTCACACCCCACTGCCACCAGCTAGGTGTTGTGCAGTTTTCCCTCCGGAGAACAAAGTCAAAGCCAAGGAGGGTCTGCTCATGACGCAGCCTCGTCTCTCCAGGAGTCCCTTTTGATGCTGCAACTCTGCAGCCTTTGGGATGCCCCTGAGCTGAGGAGCGCTGTCGCAGACACGGGGCTTCTCCAGAGCGGGGAGCGACAGCCCAGCTCTGCCAGAACTGCACCTGGGTTTTCCTGGGAGCAAACGGGACCGCCTGTCTGCACACAGCCCCCGCCTCAGCCCACGCCTTGCCTCACCCCTTTGACAGCGCACACCTTGTGCACGGGCTGTTTCCAGAGGGGAGAGGCTCAGCTCAGAAGAGAAGCCGAGCTGCAAAACGCTGCCCAAGCAAAGCGGTGCCTCTGCTTTCCCTCCCCGCCCCGTGCCGTGAACCTGAGGAGCCAGCTGGGCTCTGAAGGCGAGCACTGGGCCAGACAGCCCAACGCCTGGGTGACACGTCACCGCGACTCACCCGAAAGTGACCCCGCAGAGGCTGGTGGGCCAGACGAGGATGAGGGTACAGCTGCAGTCCAGGCCCAACGCTGCATCTTCTTGTGCACACGCGCACGCCTCCTCCTCCTGGCACAGCACCCACAGCTCGCTGAGACGCACCCTGTGCTGCAGCCAGAACCTGGTGCCACATCTGCAGCCAGGAAGAGCAGGGGCTGATGGTGAGCTTGCCTTCTGGGGGGGCACCCATGGAAATCCTCCTTGGGAGAGCCACTGCAGCTGACAGAGCCCTGGGAAGGGCTGCCCAGCTTCACAGCTCACCCAAATCGGCAACATCTTTGCCGGGGACACCCCCTGACTCTTGTAGCCCTGGTTGCTGAGCGGCCGACCCTCCCCAGAGAGCCTCCCTGGGACTTTCTGGGCCATTGGAGCAATGGCCAGCCCGAGAGGGCTTTGCGAGATGCCTCCTGACGGCTGGTATTGGAGTCAGGAGGTGGGAAGAGAGAGTACTGCCATCCTCTCTTCTTACCTGCGCTTGGCAAAAGCAAGGGCGCCTTGGAAAAGCAGGAGGTCTCTCCTCCTCTTCCTCCCACGCCAGGTCACCTCCACACAGTCGCAGCGGAGGAGCTCGGGATGCCGTCGGGACACGAGGGCACCCAGCTGGCTGCCACCAGAGCCGCCCCTGCAAAGGACACGGTTGCGAGCGTGAGGCACGCGGCTCTGCCGGGAACAGGCCGTGCCCGGTGCCAGAGGGACAGAGCAGGCACGCACCGGGAGAAGCAGGAGGGCAGCTGGCCCATCGTGCTGCGGCCAGGCAGACACTTGGGCTGTGGAAGCGCTCAGCACGGGGAAGAGCAAGGCCCCGCAAGGCCTTCCGAGGCTGGGCAGCGATGTCCCCGTGCCAGGGTGCTCCTGCCAGAGCCCGTCTCTCCCCAGCACTGCCCGCGCCAGCACAGTGCCGCACCGGGAGACACTGGTGTCCGTGACACCACTGGTGCCCCTTGTGATGCGCGGGGGGGCCACGCCCAGGGCGGGGGCACACAGCGGGCGGGGGGGCTCCGGGGCTCCAGGAGCTGCTCCTACTCGAATGGCTCTTCCCACACTCCCAGCAAACAACAGGAGCTCCCTCCAAGCCGAGGGTCCTGAACAAGGCAGAAAGCTGCGGGCAGGAGTCCCCTCGGAGCCAGGAGAGACGCTCTGTGCCCGGCCCCTGCCAGCTGAGCCAAGGCCTTCCAAAAGGCCCTTCAGCACCTCGGCTCCTGCTGCCGCCACCTCTCCGCGCATGGTGATGTTCAGTCCTTCCACCTGGTCCTCCAGACTGGGCCCAGGGCTCAGGCCAGCCTTGGCGAGACTCTGCGCTGCAGAAAAATGGGTAACAGCCTGGATTTCCTGCTCCCAGCAGGCTGCGCACAGGCAATCCTCGGCAGCAAAGCGCTGACAGCTGTGCTTAGGGAAGACACAAGAGCGGTGAGCTGAGGTCCTGGTGAACACGCCAGTGTCAGCCCAGCAGTCCCACCAAAGCTGTCAGACTGCCCCAGAGCCCAGCCCCTTCGGTGCCACAGTGCATTTCTCTGCTTGGGCTGGCTCACAGACCTCCTGTCCCAGGGCACGAGCATCACGCCACAGGCCCAGCGTCCTCGAAGGCACCTACCCGAAATGTTCTGCTGACGTCGGAGGCGTGTCCATGCCCGAGAGCTGCTCAGGACTCCTGGCAGGCAGCTACCGCAGTCCGTTTGCTGCCTTTGGAGCAACCTGAGCTCCCAGGTAGCCGCCCCAGACTCTTCTCTTGGGCGAGTGGTGCCTGAGCGGGGCTGGGGTGCTGTCATTTGCTGCCAAGTAAAAAGGGAGCAGCGGCATCCCAGGTGTGATAAATAATAGAAGAATTTTGCTTTTGCTAAAAGTAATTAAACAATTTCTTCTTAGGCTAAAGCTATTATTAGTACAATGATCCAAATTTTAAGAAAAGTAAAAGACTTTACTACTGGAAAAAGAAAAGGGGGGAATTGATTTGAGGAAACACCAACCCAACAGCCCCCCCTCCTTGTGATGCTCACCAAATGGTCCATATCAAAGGGTGGTAACTTCTTTGCAATGGAATGAGAAAGAACAGAATAGGCCATCTCTGGTATCCCTTGTCCTTGAGATAAGAGAGGAAATGAAACCACTGAGCCATAAAAGACAAAGGAGCTGCAAATTGGCCCAGACTTGAAGGACAAGGTGTAAGTGACCACAGGACTGAAGAAAGAAGAAGAAAAGATTGTAGAAGAAGACAGAAGGCGTGCCAAAGGTGTTGAAACCAGCAGCTGTGTGGATAAAAGGGGGTTTGAAACTTAAACAATTTGGTGAGCCTGGACGGAGCTGTAACTCCTCGGCCACCCCAGTGCTGTATTTGCTCTCTTACCTAAATAAAGATTCATTAATCCATATTTGGATGTGATTTGCCTTAATCTACCTATAACACAGGGAGCAGCCCAGGGGAGCTGGTTCTCTTCCAAGGCCACCAAAGCAGCCTGCCTCTGCCCCCGGTTTTGGGGGAAATACAGAGTGGCGCAGAGATGTTCCTCAGTTATTCAGAAGAGGGGCTGGGGTGGCGTTGGATGCCTCCATGTGATCTCAGAGGGAACATGGTGGGTGTCAGCCCGCAGCGTGGTCAGGCCTTGGTGATCCCAAACTGCTGCGTGTGTAGGAGCCAGGGAAGCTCGGGGAGTTTCTGGGGTTTCTGGGGGCAGGACATAGTGGTTCTGCATGGAGAAACTCCTGGGTCCCTTCCCATGGCTCCTGTTCCCCTGATTTCCTCTGCAAGGAAATCCTTGATGGACTGCAAGGAGGAAGAGGTGGGAAGTGCTGCTTTCCATGCCTGGGGCCGCAGTGGGGGGGTCTGTCTGTGCCCAGTGGGGTGTGAGCAGAGGGGTGAGGGGAGGAGGGCTCCCTGACGGGAAGTAGCCGAGTCCTGGGGCCTTTCTGCAGGGAGGGCTGGGCCACCAGCATGGGGAAAAGCTCTCTCTCCTCCGGAGTGAGCCCTTCTCCTGTGGGGCAGAAGGGAAAGGGAAACCCCTGCCAGCGGGAAGGGCAGGCCAGCGTGTAGGGGATGCTGAGCACTAGGCAGACCTTCAGCCCTCCAAGCAGAGCCTCTCCTTCCCTCTTCAGGACAAGCAGGCTGTCCTTGGGGCGGTGGCCGCCAGGACGGGGGTCCTTCTGCGTGAGGAGCAGCACCGCGAGCGTGCCTGGGAGCAGCTCCTCTGGCTCTTGCACCAAGATCAGGAGGTGCGAGACACTCCCCGGGTCAGCAAGGTGAGGTGTTGCGCAGGGCCCGGCGTGGCTGCTGGAGCGGGTCTGTGCCCGTGCCACGAGGCGCTGGGGAGCTGTGCGGTGCCAGGAGGAGCTGAGAAGCCCTTAGGGAAGGATCGGGGAGAGCAGAGGAGGCCTGAGGCTCTTTGGGCACGAAAAGAAAAACCCGGGGTGGGGGGCAGGAGGGAGGCAAGAGTCCCTAGAGCTCATCTTCTCAGAAAGGGAGGCACTGCCACCTCCCTGGGGCTCTGTGCAGGAAGAGCTTTGCCCTCATGCCCAGGGCCATGTCCAGTGCTGTCCAGTGAGGGGCGAGGTCTGCTGAGTGGGAAGTGCCAGGAAACAGAGTTGTCAACACCGGGCTCTGTTCAGAGGCAAGAGCCCCTCCTGGTGCTGCTCTGAGGGGAGGGCAAACAAGAAGCCCCGTGCTGGGGGGTGTGGGGTTTTCCCTGGGACCTGGTGTTAGGGTCTCCCCTTTTATCCCAGTGGTGCTGGGTTTCTCCTTTGCCAAGTGCCTTTAGGTGGCTTTAGCCTCCTCTTCGTCCCCCATTCTGTTGTAGAATCCCCAGGTCTGTCCTGGAGGTGCTGGAGGGAGTTCAGACCCCAGTCCCACGGGGCATGGCTCTTGCCATCAGCACTGCTGTGCACCGCCAGGTAAGGGGAGCCTGCGTCCTGCCGCCGGCCTGGGGCCCACACGTGTCATTGCCGTGGAGGGGAAAGAGCTGCCGGCTGGCAAGGCAGGGCAGGGCAGGGCAGGGCAGGGCAGGGCGGGGCAGGGTGGGGCAGGGCAGGGCGGGGCAGGGCAGGGAAGGGCGGGGCAGGGCGGGGCAGGGCAGGGCGTCCCTCCGCCGGGACCTTCCTGCAGTCCAGGAGCACGCCAGGATTTGTGATCCTTAGGGCTGCAGGAGGACTGACCCTGGCTGTTTGGAACGGGCCCGAGGGGCAGCCCCATTCCCACAGCAACTTCCCTCTTGGCCAAGCCACAGGAGGACTCCGGAGCGTCGGCACCCTAAGGACTGCCTTTCAACACTGCTCATCCTCAGCTCCCAGGGTGCTGCAAGCCTCTGTGTGCACCCGGGGCCATCGTGGGGTGGGCTGGGTTTTGGCTGTGGGTCCCGTGCCCAGAGCCCCCAGGGAGAGGAGAGCGGAGAGCACCGTTTGGTTTCAGTCCCTCTCAGCACTGACGTGACTTTCTCTAACATGGACCTTGTTCCCACAGCTCTCTGATGTGAGCCGGGAGCCTGGCCCGGCCCATCAGGCAGTGCTGTCCCGCTGCATTGTGCCGCAGGGTGAGGAGAGGAGGCTGGGCGATGCCCCGCTGTGCTGTGGCAGCTCTCTCCCTCTCCTTGGTGGCTGCTGGTAAGTGCCTGTAGCCGGGGCAGTCGCATGGGGGGGTTCTGGGCTGCACCATCGGACTGGTTTCCCCAGAGGTACAATGGTCTCTCGGCTTTATGTGAGCTCCTGGAGCTGTGTGCTGAGCTGGTGGGGCCCTTGGGTGCTGGTGTTGAGTGGCTGTGGCTGAGGAAGGGCTGGAGGTGTTGGCTTTGGGTTCCTCGATTAGGGTGAACCCAGCTGTGGTTTAAGCCACTCTGGAGAGGGCTAGTAAATCCCCTGTCTGTTTTCTCTTCCTTTCTCCTCTGGCCCGCCGGGCTTCGGGGCCGCCGGGGTGCCAGGGGCTCCGGCAGCTTCGGGCATCTCCGCAGCCGGGGTGTTAGCGGTCGCAATCGCGAATAGAGCTGATCTACACACAGCAGATAAGCCGGCACTTCTTTATTCCAGCGCTGGGGAACACGGGGGATAGCTCCACCCATTGTTTTGTTTCAGAGTCCATAACGATTTCCATAGTAATCGAGGCAAACACAATGCTAGTTGCTCCTAAGATCTTAACATACCATATGTTCTCATAGCTACTATAGCTTCGTTTTAAATCAAAGCCATATTTTAAACTAAAATCAAAACAATATTCTAGGATTCGAGCTATTTTGTTAAGGTAACTGCAACAGGGGCGCGGCTGCCGCTTCTGCAGACGCAGGTTCCTGCTGCCCGCCGTGAGAAGCAAGCTCACGTGCGTTAAAAAATGTTTTATTGGGGACAAAGTCGGGGGAGCAGAGGATACAGCGCTGGGCGCGATGGCACGCAACGTGCCCTAGCAGCCGCTTCTTTTTATCGAGGAACCAGGAGATTTCACAAGTGGAGCGAAATGGCGGGTTTCTTCTTATAGTTCCAGTCCTCCTCTTTGCACCTGCGCAGCTCCTTTTGCTTGGTTTCTCCGAGGAGGTTTGTCTCTGTACTTTTCCTCTGCCCTCTGGGGAGGCTCTTGGGGAGCGGGGGGGGGGGCGAAGTCCAGGTTCCTCTTCATCAGGAGTTCTTGGCTTAACCCTTTTCTGCTGGTTTCCATTCCTCCCCAGCACCCCCCATCCAAGTTCCCCTTTACATGACACCTAACCACAGACCCCCCCGTCCCTTGCTTGCTCATCTTCCCTCGATGCCCAATCATATCCCTAATTTGTGATCAAAAAAGGCTTGCTTAACTGTTATAATTTTAACAACGCTAATTTAATAACAGCTTTAGCCTATCTCAGTCACAGTAATTGTTTAATTACTTTTAGCAAAAGCAAAATTCTTCTGTTACTTCTCACAAACCACCCCTTTTCTTTTTAATACCATATTTTGCTTGAGCTTACCAACACTCAGTCTCATTCTTTCCTTCTTTTTCCATTTAACGATGTTGTTTAAAGCACTTGTTGCACGGATTTGCCGCTGTGAAAGTGAACCCTATCAGGAAGATTAACAGAGGTCCGGTATAACATATACTCCCACCTCTCATGCCTATGGGGTTGCAGCCCACAGCTGGGAAAAGGGGCTTCTTGGTGGCGAGCACAGAGGTTAACCCGGTCTTGCCCTCTACTATTTTGAAATGTAGCAAATCCGTGTTTTAACCGTTAGTCAATTCAAGTGCAGCTCCTTTATAGCCACTCCCTTTGTTTCTAAGCAAAGCCAACCTTTTTTGGCACTTTCTGACAGTGTCCTTCCACCGACTCTCAGGGACATCCCAAATTTCGCGGACTAACCTCTTTGTCCCACAAATCAAGGTTACAATTCGTGCCCCTTCCCTATACTCACAGTCCCTGTTACAGTTATAACATGATTTTCTCTGTTTGCGAGAGATACAATACCACCCCTGGTTACACATTTCACACTCACACAAAACCCACGCTTCGTGAAATTCGTGTAGGCACTCGAGACAAGGCGACAACCCTATTAGGTTGGTTTTCTGGCAACGCCTGATCTAACCCAAAATGCTCATAATCTATTCCAAAAAGCCACTCTGACACTTGTCTGCCAGTCAACGCTCGGTAAACACCAGCTTTTTCCCTGATCCCTTTCTTGTGGTTCCCCATACAGCGAGTAAGTAAATTTTCACAGTGTCACCTCTGAACTCAGTCCAAAATGTTGGTTAAGAGTCATTCAGTCCCCTCCCGACAAAGTTACTTAGTCCTTTTGAGGGTGACTCGTAGTTGATCAGTTGGTGGTACCACAGTCCACTCCCGAGGCTTTTCCACCGGTCCTTTTCCTCAGGAGGCATGAGTCCACCCCTTTTCTTTTGTTCGGATCGCTGTCTTGGTGGTCAGCAGCACCTGAAATGGACCTT